CGTCAATGCCTTCCTCGGCGGCGAGTTCGCCAGCTACGGCATGGACGTGCTGAAGTTTCTGGACAGCGATCCGGCGGTCCGCGTCGACCCCATGTCGAAGGTCTTCCCCAAGATGACCAAGTGCACCTTCCGCAAGTTTGGCCCCAGCGGTGATGTCCAAAAGTGAGTGTCTTTTTTAGGAAGAGATAATCCTATTTGTGGAGGGTAAACAACAATTTCGAACTNCAGCTTCGCCAGCGTCCTCTACCGCGTCATGGTCATCGGCTGGCCGGGCAGTCGGGAGTTCCTCCTCGCACGCATGCACAACCTCGCCGACCCGGAGAAGGTGAAGACGATAGTGCACTACAGCAACTACAGCGACTGGTTCCTCATCTACCTGGTAAGTTACCCATTCACTTTATACTTTTTGATCATTCTCATTCGATGTTCTCTGTTTCTCAGCTCAATGAAAACCTCGACAAGATGCACTACCGCGAGGTGCTCAGCAGCCTGGCGCAGGAACTGCAGAACCCCACTCAGCAGAAGCGCATCAACGGGATCAACGGAAAGGATGACGATGATGATGATGACGACGATGATGATGATGATGACATCGATGGAAGTGAGAAAGACAGCGGCGTTCTGGAGAAGCTGAAGGACGCCGAGACCAATGTCTAGTCTAGAGCAACAGTAGAAAAAAAACAGCACTTCCTTTCCAACTCAGTCTGAGAAAGCGAAAGTTGTTGTTGTTTTCCGCCTTGATTCTTTCTCTCCTTTTCCTTTCATTTTAGTTTTCGCATTTTATTATTTTTGCTCTCTCTCTCTCTCCCTCTTTTCCTTTCCCTCTTTTTCTTTTCTACCCTCCTGCTAATATTTACCCTTCACCTTTTCTGCTAGCAATGTACTCTCTTTCTTTCTTTCTTTCTTTTTTTACTTTTATTGTGTCCCGTCCCAATCGCACTGGTGTAATTATTATTTAATGTTGACGGTGATGATTAACTTTGGGAGATTGAAGCAGGGATTGGCAACTACAACTGGACATGTGATCAATAAAAAGAACAGCGCAGCAACTCTCAATACTCTCTGCAACAACCAAAAGTTGACCTTTGAAGTTCAACAACGTTTGAACCGAGCCGCTCTC